AGGGCCGGACTGGGTCAACAATTTCTACCGGGAAAATAAAAAAAATCGGCCCACTTAGGTACCTATACCTATAAAAACAACCTTAAAAACATATTTTTCCATATAAAATGATTGTATATTATTTTGAGAATTTAAACACTTAATATTATTATTAAAAATTAAAAAAAATTAAAAATTAGATAGTACAAAGAAATGTAATCATTTTTATTTAAAATACATATTATATTTAGACTCTAGAATAACTACACATTAAATATTAATTATACATATTAAGCAATTTGTTTAGGTTTGAGCTCTTTTGCGAAAGTGTGTCGATTATGATTTCATTATCCAACGCCATCAAAATATCAGATTCAGCTGACATAAGCATAAATGATTCTAAATGATCATGGCTCAATGAATTTCTTATTCTATTGAGAATATATTTCAATTTTGAAAACATACTTTCACAAGCTACTTGTGTTGACGACAGTGATAGAATGAATTTGTATGCAAAAAATAGTGTCTTGTAAGATCGCTGTACAGATTATATTTCAGTAGTACTATATAGCAACACAAAATACAATTTCGACACGCTTTAATTTTATTACATAATATTGACGATTTTTTTTCAATTTCTAAATTAGAATTGTTAATGCTTTCTTTTAGTTCTAATTGCTGTTCCTCGTCAATAAAATTATCAAATCCGTACTCTTCGTGAAGTGTTAATTTTAGACGGTCCCATTTTGAATAAAAGTCTTGTAGTTCATATAACAAGTTAGCTTTTGTTATACTCTCGTCGCGATTTACTAAATGCTCAACTAATTTTGTAAATGCTTCTTCGGGAATTTTTTCATTGAATCTGCTAGGTTGTAAAAAAGCACAATCGGCAGGAAATTTACTATTGCTAAAATATCTTATTTCCATACTATTGATTAGTGTATCAAATGTAACATTATATACATCGACAACAACATTTTGATAAGCACTAGGTGGTGAATATTCTTTATCAGGATCTCCATCCATTATTTTACTTTTACTTATTTTTATTTCCGGAAAATTATCTTGAACCGTTATTTTAATATTTTCATGATCGAAATAATTATTAGCCCAATTTGAAAACTTTTTTGCTGCTTCATAAACTATAAGGGAACTTCTTGAAAATTGTTTTAAACTTTCTAAAGTAGTTTCTACCATACGATGCGCTTGAAGAACATCCATATTCTGAGTTTGTAAATATTTAGATAGTGCAGAAGTATGAACAAAAATTTTAAGATACATATTAGCTGTGACAATTGTTTCAAATTTTGTAAAATTATCAAGAAGCGTCCTTGCGTTGTATGTTATTTTAAAGTTGAGTGTATCTGATTGAGACATTTTATACAATGCAATTAAAAGAGTCAAAAATATTGAATTTTTTTCACTGGGGTCGTTAAAAGTACCAAAGATTTTTTTTAAAGCATTATCTTTAGACCACCATCTAGTTTGAGCTATTACAGATATTATTTTTATACGAGATTCTGAGAGTAAATCTTTTAAAATATTCATACGTGTGTAGGATTCTCGAAAAAAACGGCACACGAGTTTAAAAGTCCAAATAAAGTAATTGAATAATGATTTTTTTCTGCTATGTCCATCATGACCAAATATTCTTTTATCTTGAAATATTCTCAAATATGCTAAAAAAACGTTTGCCATTAATTAACCGGTTTCATGATTTGTAAAGATTTCGAACCCCCGTCTGACTGCATAGCCTCAAAAAAAATATGCAAAAGAATATAATTCCGGCCCCTAGCTATAACCAATATAACCATATACCTAATAATTATTATTAAATATTATTAAACTATAACGGTGGAAATGCGTAGCACACAATTCTTTTCTTTTAAATACGTCCGAATTAATAGTATTATTATTATACATAATATTATGTTGTACGATAGTATTCAGGAAAATTCACCGGACAAGTTCACACCCTGATTGTTAACTTTATTACAAACGCTTTTATTCAAATGCTGATTTTTGGAATTTTTAGCGATATAGGTACCTACTAAAATACCATATTATATTATACTAAATTACCTACTTATGTTTTTTTATACGCTTTAAGGAGTATCCTGTGGTGAGGACTAACTTTTGTTTTTCGAACGAGAACGACCCTTTTTAATATGCTTTGTCTAGCAGATGATTTTTTTGAAAATGTTGATGTATCTTCGTTGAAATTTTAATGAGTCATTTATTGTTATCAAAAAATTAAGCAATGCACATTATTTACTAAGAACAATATTATATACCATGGTATAGACATAGAGGCATTAATGATATGACAATAATTGCATTAATTAATACTAATATATTAACATTTCATGATTTTCTTTGGGAGGGTTGAAAATTAATTTTTGACAAATTTTATCTAAAAACCATTTAATAATGAGATTGTTTTATAACTCAATAATTTTCGTTGTGGGAGTGGGGGTTACACCATTGGGTGTAAGTCCTATAGATAATTAAATATCACATCTATTTTCTATTTTTTTTTTTTTAAACCATTTTCATTACTATTATGCTTATGGTATACACATTTTAATAACTTAGAAACTACTCATTAAAATATTTAATTATCTTCTTATCAATTATTTACGCTTGTATCGCCACTGATGACCATGAAGTTAGCTCCCCAACACTTTGACGGATTCACTTCAAACCAACTCCAATATTTAGCAAATTAATTGCAAATAATTGCAAATTGGTTTTTAGAATTCGCAAATTAAAATTGGAATTTTGGCGAATTTTTTTTAAAATTTGGTCAGCCCCACCAATTCATCCGATCGACTCCAAACCGGTGTCAATATTTTGCAAACTAAGTACTAAGTTTTTAAAAATATTTGCAACTATTTGCAGCCCCAAAAAATAAATTTTAACTAATTTAACTACATTTTTACTGTTTTTATAATATTTTTTATATTACATTATGTTTAAATGTTGACAACTTTTAATATTTTTTCAACAAAAAATAACAATTATTAATTATAATTCAAAATGTATTATTCTTATGCATGAGTTCATAGCGTCAGAACTTAGTTAGGCCTTCGGGCCAACAGCTCAACGTCATACGAAAAAAAACTAAAATTACAGGTAGGTTGGAATATTCTAAATTATAATACTTAAATACCGCATAACGTATTATGTCATAAAATATTTTATCAGTTATACCTATAATAATATGTTAAATAATATTTATTGATTTAAAATGTATCATAATATTCTGATATTCATTACATCGACTCAATGACGACGTATACCTACATACGATACTCACTATGCTTCAGAGCATTTTCCACGGTTTTTAACTTGTCATTTTAGAAGCAATGACAGTGTTTCAATAACCAGTTGTAAAAATATAGTCATGGGTTTTTTTTACAATATAAATGAATAAAACTATTAAACAAAATTATTATTTAAGATAGTGACTACATTGTAATTTCTTATGGCGTTGCGTTGTCACTCGCGTGCTGTATTCTTTTGGGTTTTTCTATTTTGTACGTAGTAGCTCCATAGATATTAAAGAATGGATAGGCCATGGCTACATTAATAAAAATAGAGGGTCGTGTGCCGGAATGGGGAAGAGAGAAAGACTGTTTTTTATGATTGTATCTCATTCTGGCAGAGGTCTCATCATAAATTATATACAATAATTATACACATATATCTATTTGTGTTATGACCTCTATAACCACAAAATATTTTCATGTTCGTTACTTCGTTCCCGTATGATAAGCACAAATGGCCTATCCATTCTTTAATATCTATGAGTAGCTCGGGTGTCGTCGATTTGCGTTTACACAATAATATTATGTGGAGGACTTTACCCAATGAAAACAATATTATTTAGTTAAAATGACAGTGACTCTGTTCTCTTTTGAAGTCCAGTGGAGTCGCATGTTCCTATATTGTATTTAATTGCTAGTATATTTTACGATAGCTTGTGCATTGTTGTTATTTTATTTGAAATTATTACATCTTGTTAAACATGGTAAGTATAGAAATATTTAAAGTTATTAAGAATAGTATGTACCTTTTATTAAAATAATATAATCAATGTATGATACAGCCATACACGAGATTCTTTTAAAACTAGCGTTTTCAAATAGTTGGGATTTTAATTTTTATATGATTTAAAGAAGTTGTTATACTTGGTTTGTTTATTATTTTTTAAATATTCGTTTAGAGTTATTTTACAATCGGTACCTAGTACAATATATTTTTAAACGTTTGTACCTACGTGTGAATGGGTAAGTATTAAATTTTAGCTTAATAGTAACAGTTGGTTATACAAAAAAAAATACAATCAAATTTTATGGTTTGATAAAAATATCATCTAAAAAACGGACCTAAAAGACTTCTTTTTTCTAACGACTAGGATCTTGTTATAATAATATAGTTGCCTAGGTATAAAGAGTTATTTTACTCTACTGGCATGTGACGTTTTTTTGTAGAGGTATATACCGAATTAAACGACATAGGTAGGTACGGTATTATTTAATATAGTTACCTACTACCAGGGGTTAAAGAGGGGGGCGCAGGAAGAGTCAGTCCCCATACCTCTGACGGTGGTTAAAAAGCGCCCCCTTTAACAAATTAAGATTTTATACATTAGACATTATACATAAAATAAAATATGGAACGCTTAAAACTATATGGAGACATTAGTCCCCTCTGTAATTTTTTCCCACTTTAACCCCTGCCTACTACGTAGTACGTAGGTACTCGTAATTACATATTATCTTTACTTTTTTTATAATATTTTTTGATTTAGTAGATTTAGTAGAGTTCTTAATATCATAATATTTTAGTTTGGTTAAATAAGGTTATTATTGTCATTTTATATTCTGACATGTACTGCGTATATATTGTGTAGGAGTGTCACTTGTCAGTATAAATTACTTTAATAGCAATATTATAAAATATACTTATATTAATACTTATAGACGGTCTTCGTTCAGTTTCGGTTTTCTTGTACAATGATTTTATATCATCGAATTGAAATTTAACACATCCATTAAAATTACCCATCTGACATCTAATGAACAGCAGAGCGGTACCCAATCTTGCCACCATTTTTTTACATTAGTACTTCATTAATTCTATAGTATATTATGTACATATGTATGATAAAAATTAATACACATTACTTAATACCCATACACCCACCCATCCAAAATTTGGAGGCGAGGTTGCTCCTCTAGACCCCTTTCTTCAAGCCACTGAGTCTATAAATATCAATAAAATTGTATTCGTCGGGTAAGAAAATGTGCAAACCATGTTCAAAACTCTTGAAATATAAACAAAAACAGCTAACGCCTAACAATTGTTGTAGGCATTTGTAATATTGAAAAATATATATATAAATATATATATATAATATATCATAGGTATATAATTGAAAGTTCACAGTAAATAGGTAGTTATAATTGCATTAGTCGTCTGCAATTCATTCTGTTGCAATGATATACCTCCAGTACCGCAACAACCATGGGAGCTAAAGGTGCAAAGAACCCCCGAGCCCTTGTTAAATCACAACAATGGGCCCCGGGGCCCGTGGCCGAATTATTTGAAACTTTTTTTTTTTTAAATATTTATTCGTTATTTGAAAGTAGAAAGTTATTATATATTATTAACTTATGCCTAGTGACTAGTCTAGCACTAGACTAACACTGGTCACTACTCTATATTCATTTAATACCAATGTATGTTGATTCAATAATAAATCATTATTATATAAAAAATTATTCTGAGCTAAGGCGGTCTGTCTGCATACATGTATACTACTGCAGGTAGGTATACTACTATAAGTGTATTTTGTGATATATTATAATTATATTGCTATTAAAGTACCTAATTTTTTAAGCGAGCTATGAGTATTTTAAAATTGTAAATTGCTTATAGATCTTAAAGTACTCATAACTCGCTTAAAAACTAAAATATAATAAAAAGCTCATGAAGTTGATTAGATAATAATTTTACCTTTAGATTTTATAAGAGGTCAATTTACTCTAATTTTTAAATTAATGGAGCTACACATGTTTTTCTGAATTTGCCATGTTATGCACTTGTAAGGAGGAGGAAACACATTCGGGTATCAAGTCCACTTAAAAATACAGTAGATAGAATTTGTTTGCAGATAATATACTATTTAA